CCCTAGTGCTATCCAAATTCTCACTGGGCAGTAACCCTACTATACTTTACTTATATCATGTAAGATGCAGATAAAATTCTGATTCAGAATTCAGGCTTACTGACATGTTGGCTAATTTATAGTGACAATCACAGTATTTCAAAGTAAATACCACTGAAACTGATTATTAATTAATGCTCAAGGCAATTTAAACAGTGCATATAAACTCTCAGGGATACGATAAATATGAGAATAGAATTGAAAATGTCATAGTATCAGTAGGAATCTATTTCAGAATCAAGGTCCCAGACCTGAGATACTTGGTTTCAACCAAACTCCAAGTCCCGGACCTTAGCTCCCAAAAGTGAGTACTGGAGACATGTGCCAGAGGTGGACAGCAGGTTAGGTATACTGCAGCTACAGTAGTCCAGTGACCTATGTAATTAGTCTTGTTACCACAAGTACAGTGTCAAATACAGTGTGCCCCCTGAGTCCCCAGGGCCCAATCATCTCCGCCCATACCACCTCCTTTGGTTCTTTTATTTCCTTGTCCTCGAATGGTCTGGTATTTGCAGAATACATAATACAGATGACCCTTGAACAACACGGTTTGAGCTGCACCAATTCACATACACAAGGATTTTTTACACTACAGTACTGTAAATTTTGTTAACACTTTTTTCTCTAGCTTACTTTATTGTAAGAATATAGTATATATTACATGTAACATATAAAATATGTGTCAATCAACTCTATATATTCTCAGTAAGGCTTCTGGCCAATAACAGGTTATTAGCAGTTAAGTTTCTGGGGAGTCAAAAGTTATATGTGAATTTTCAACTATATAGGGGTTGGTGTCCCTAATCCCCATGTTTTTCAAGGGTCAAATATATGTTGCTAGACTTGATCAAGGTTGGCATGGGAATTGGGTTAAGCTGAGTGAGGACAAAGTTTTCAGTGGTAGTACCTCAGAGGAGCAAAGTGAAGGCAAACCTTTAAAGACTAAGTAAAAGGAATTGATGAAGTGAGGCCAAAGCTGCGGTGACTCACGAGAAAAGACTAGAAAGGGACGGTCCAGGCAAAAATGGTTTAGGGAAATGGATTTGATACTTCAGGATTATGAAATCTGTAAAGAATCTCTTGTGATTAGGTCTAAGGATAAAGCTAAGAACTTGGAGAATTCCTCATTGTATTCAAGCAGACATCCATATTTCAAACATGTAGAAAGAATAATGGCTGATAATATTCTTAAAGGCTGCCAATATATCCCCCCAAACTAACTAGAATTATACATTATAGTTAACATCTACTAAGCACTTTTACTCTGCTTAACTATTATACATCGAATTTACTGTTCAAAGCAACCCTAGGGGGTAGATAATCTCATTCTGCTTTTTTACAGGTGAGGAAATTGAGGCTTACTAAGATAAAATGACTCACCCAAGGTCACATAATTAGAACCGGTGGAACCAAGTCTTAAACCCAGCCTGAATCCAGAGCTTTGCTCTGAACATGATGCTATAGTTACACTTTAAACAAAACAACTATAAAAGGCAGGAGCAAAGTTATTTTAAATCAGACGTTTCCAAACTTTATGTAGCAGTAGACTCTTCTCCAAATAAAACGCTTCTCAGAAGCCCATATATAAGATATACAAAAGCTAAGCAGCCCTCCTGACAGTATCTGAGGCCTCGACAGAATTTACCAGAGCACACTCAGAACAGGACGACCTTCTGTCATGCCATTTGGTCTTAAGTGGTAACACTGCTCTGTATTTTAAGTTCTAATAAAAACGACTTATATTTAAATGGAGAGAATGCAAGATCAGAAGAGATCTGTGCTCTAGTAACATGCATTTTTACTTTAATTGAGAACGTATTTCTAACTCAATGGTTTTAATATACTTAAAACCAATAATTTGCCTAAAATGATAGGGGGAGGAGAAATTTGAATGGGACTGAAGTTTAAAACATGTTGTTCACAATTTACCCACATGAAAAATTTTGTGGGCAAATTACTACCTATGTTAACTTTTTGACATTAAGAAAGGAGATGGGGAGATGGGAATATAATTCTAAGAGTGTTCCAATGCCCAACTCTCATATTGCAATTTTTCAACACAAATAACTTGCTTATCTTCAACTTTGACATTTTAAGAAATGTTAAGTGAAGAGCAAACAATGAAAATATTAAAATGCACCTTGTTGTCAGCAGAGCAATATACTGTAACGTAGCAGCAAAAGATTTGTTAAAACTGTCAATGAAGCCAGGTAGGCAAAAACTTCAATTTATTTGAGTCCAGTCAGCGTTAAATTTCCTCATGAATGCTTCAACAGCAGCAGTGAAAGCAGCTTATTCTGCAGTCAAAGCAGCCCTCTGTTGCGGTCTTTAACAACTCATATGAAAATAAATAAAATCTTAACTACCCAACTAACATGCTTTGTGATGATTTTGTAGAAATGTCCAAGCTTCCCTGCTACATATTAATGAGAGTATATTAACATTTGTGCTGTGAATTTACTAAAATAAACACCTGTTAAGTATTTTCAAATTAATTGTTTTTCTCAGAAAATCACAAACTAAAACAGTCTAATTTTCTGTGAAACATTTAAAGAAAGGAAGGAAATGGTAGACTCTCGTCTCAATCACCCCTGCCTAAAAATGGTAACTTTATACTAAGCAGTATAAACAACCTTCCATTTGTTTCCATAATAAACATACCCATGAGTTAATAGTGTTTTCACCTTGTGAAGCAGGTGACCTTACCCAGTGACTGAAGTCTGGACCCAGGTTTCACCTCAAAGGCCCTGTACTCACTCAAAAAACAGGGAATGGTGAGATGATCTCAAGATTTCTTTCAATACATGTTGAAATGCTCTGAGCTTCATCCAATACATTGTCCAGATACTTTCCACATTTGGCCAAAACTAAAACCTATGGATTCCAAGTTGTAAAATATTTTCTCTGGATTACAAATATCAGCCAGCAAAGCAACCAACCAACCAACCAACTGATCAATCAATCAAAAGAGCCTTGTCTAAGACACAAAGTTCTGCTGGTTGGCTCAGGTAGGGAAGACTTGAATTTCAGTTCTGTAAATTGGGACAAGTGCTGTTAAGTGTGGTTTTCTCATCTACAAAATGGGGATTACATGTCTTCCCTATTTCATTGAGTTCTCTTAAACAGTGAGATAATTTCTGAAGCTCATCATAAGCAGCTAAGTTATTTGTTTACCATTAAGCTTATCTTTTCAGACCTCTCTCATTATTCTTAAGGTGAAAACTGGCTGAATTTTAAATGCAGTATTAAGAGATCCAAAGCTGAATACAAACACATAAGCCTCATAAAATACATGTCTGATGAGAAAGGTCCAAGCATTTGAAATTCTTGTGGATCAGGATGGGGAAGCAAGATAATGCCAATCTGTTCTGAACTTGTACCTCCATTTAAAGTCAGGAAGCCAGAACAAAGGTTTTTATGATTGATGAACCTATAAAATGTACACATGGAGATACTCAATCATATGTGTATGTATATGTGTATGTGTGTCTGTATGAAAAGGGCTCTTCAAAAAATGGACTGAGATAATTCTGTTAGGTCCTGGGAGTTATACTGTTTTATTCTGCAGTAAGATGGGCTTTTGAGATTCCTCTATATGCTTTATTACTATGTGCAGAAAGTATATAATTTTTAAATTTAATCAATTAACATCTCAATCATGTGCTTAGTTACTATACTTTTTAAAGTTTCAGAATTAGAAAATACATGATTTATTAAAAATCAAAATATACAATGATAATTTTTAAGGTAATCAAAAATTAGGGATGCCTGGGTGGCTCAGTCGGTTAAATGTCTGCCTTTGGCTCAGATCATGATCCCAGGGTTCTGGGATAGAGTCCCGCTAGCAGCTCCTTGCTCAGTGGGGAGCCTGCTCCTCCCTCTGCCTGCCACCCTGATTGCGAGTGCACAAGTGCTCTGACAAATAAATACATCTTTAAAAGAGAAATTAAATTTCTACCAGCCTTGCCTCCTGTCAACTCATTTCCCACATGTGTCACTGTGTAATGTGTATCCGTCCTATTCCTTCATTCTTTTTACTATACACACACAATCAAAATGTTTTACCAAGGTATGTTACTAAGACTAAAATTCCGCTTGTCTTAATAGCTTAGCCAGTCTTCCTTGGCTGGCCCTATAGTGAGGACAACCACACCTCCTCTATATCTCGTCATGTGTTCTGGAGCTCCTATACCTACCTGCTTTGCTAATCAGTCCATCTACTCTTCCACCATCACTCTCAAACCCCTTCTTTCTTCAGCCCTGATCACAGTCACTACATCCTACACCCCTTCCCTCTTCTCAAAAATTAATCTTTTTACTTCTCTATTGCCTTATAAGGAATTTTACTTTTCCCCCCTAATTCTCACACTGTTTTTACTTACATATGGACTAACTGCATTTAATAAACAAATAAATCAAGATACTGCATGTTACTGTGAAGGTAAGCATGTTGTACATTATACTGATGGGGTATAAATACTGAATTATGAAGTTGAATTTATATAACAGTATGTAATATGAAATAGGAATGAATTTTTAAAAAGATGCGTGCATATTCTCTACAAATTATTTCAGTATGATTGTCATCTTACTTAGTTCTCCTTTGCTACTTAATTTTTCCCACCTTGTCTATTCATTCTTATTGTGAATGAAAAATATTAAGAAAACTCTACCTTTAATATTTCACTGCCTGACCATAGTGCTACATTATCTGCAGAAAATAAATGTTTAAGAACATACTAAGTCAACAAAATAGTAAGAGGGTTTTTGGGCGGTGGGGGATGAGGGGAATACAAAGAACTCTCAAGAACAAATAAGCACATCTGCAAATACACAAAAATTTTAAAACACTGCATAAATAAATGTTTGTATCAAATACCCTAACTTCCCAGATTATTTCAAATGAAACAATCTGGGGCATTATTATTTATAAGAAGGAAGCTAAATGAAAAACGTCTTACGGTGATGATTCCAGAACGATGCTATTAGCTTGAGTTGAAGATGGAGATCTGTGATTCACAAATACTTCGCTTGGGGAAGTGTGAACCACATGGTCTACCAAATGACCAACTGAAGATGGTCGTAACCGGGTTCCCTCTTGTGTGAATGCAGAATTTCGACTACATAAAGAGAAAGAAAAATTGAGTGAAAATGTGCTTTAATTCAACTTTTTCCAGTTTCTTACTTATATGATTACATTAGAAAGTGGGTATATGTTTTAACATTAACCACACTGACTAAGCAAAATCTCTGACAAAGATAGTATGATGTAAACAGAAATAATACCACATAGGAAGTCTAGGATCTCAACTAAAGTCAGTGATCGACCACAAGGGTTTTACCTGTTCCATCTATTATGGCTACCAACCTTAATGTCTAAAGGCTTTAGTCACTATAACTTAGTGTCTTAATCAGCATTTACACCTCATTTCATTGCACTTTGCTTTACTGCCTCTTCTTCTTTTTAAACATTCATTTCTTTTAGAGAGAGAGAGAGAGAGAGAGAGAATGAGAAAGAGAGCGCACCGACAGGGGAGGGGCAGAGGGAAAGAATCTTAAGCAGACCCCCTGCAGAGTGCGGAGCCTGATGCAGGGCTTGATCTTACAACTCCAGGATCATGACCTGGGCCAAAATCAAGAATCAGACACCCAACTGACTGAACCACCCAGGTGCCCCTCTTCTTCTTTAAAAAAAAAAAAAAAAAAAAAAAATGTACTGAAGGTTTCAGTAACTGCATGGAACAAGTCTACTGGGTGTCATTTCTTCAATAGCATTTGTTCACTTCGTGTCTCTGTCATATTTTGGTAATTCTTCCATTATTTCAGACTTTATTGTTTTTGTTGAAGTAATCTGTGATCAGTGATTATGACTCACTGAAAGCTTAGATGATGGTTAGCATTTTTTAGTAATAAATTGTTTTTAATTAAAGTATACACACTGATTTTTCACATTGCCATTGCACATTTAATGGAATACAGTTGAGTGTAAATATAACTTCTGTATGTTTTAAGAAACAAAAAGATTCAGTGACTTGCTTCATTGCAGTGGTCTGGAACCAAACCTGCAGTATCTCCAAGGTATGCCTTTATAAAATAAAGGGAGAGAATAAATAAATCAGATATAGCTCTGGTCTGTGTTCTTTTTTAAATCCTTACAGAAGTTTTTAATTTATGGGACTTTTTAAGATCCTAAAAATAAGTAACATATTTCTATCCTCATAAGTGACAGTCACATGAATTTTAATTTTCATTACTATTCTTAATGACATTTGAATGCTTATTATGTGCTAGCATTTTACATATATCACTTTCTAAGCATTTTACATATATCACTTCATTTAATCCTTGTAAAAATACTACAAGAAAGACAGTTATTATAATTTGTAGATGAGGAAAATGGGACAAAGAGATTAATTAACTTACTCAAAGTTCAAACTTTCAGTGATTCCAGGGTTATGCGCTTAATCATCACACTAAACTGTCTGAAGTCTTCAGAATTGAGAAAAAAACCTTTTCAGATCATATCTAAAATTGTTTCATTATCTAGGAAGTTTAATCAGAGCTACTGCTAATTAATTAACTCACTCATCTTTCCTCTGTGTTCTGTAATTTGCTCTAATTATTTAGTGGTAACTAGTAACAAATGGAGAAATGGTTGGCTGGAAAATGGCCCAAAAAAGATGGTTCTGGATTTTCTTCAAATAGTTGATTAGCCTCTGAATATATGCAGTATTTTATAAAGAAAGGTGATTTAGCAATCTGCAACTGGTAAGAGAAGAACTTGTGAGTCTACCTTTTTTAGCAGTTTAGCTGCTAGGAAAACACAAAGGTATGAGGTAATGTTCTCTAACCAAACTTTACTTTTGTTATGGTAAAAGTTTACTCTTGGGCTGAAAAACACCCACTGGTGACACAAATTTTAGAATTTAGTATGGGGTGGGTGGGTCAGCTGGCTGGGGGTCCAACTCCTGATCTCAGCTTAGGCTGTGATCTTAGGGTCAGTCATAGGATCAAGCCTCACATCAGGCTCTGTGCTTAGCACTGAGTCTACTTATCCTTCTGCTTCTCCCCTTGCTTGTGTTCTCTAAAATAAATAAAATCTTTTTTTAAAAAGTAGAATATAGTACACATTTATTGGATATTAATGTGTTTAAAATATTTCCAAAGTTAGACAACTTCAAATATTATATTCCATACCAAAACTCAAATATTTTGCATTCCAACCTTTTGGGTGAACAAATTCTATGACTACACTGACATCTATTTATCATTATGTAATTACATACATATATTACACATAATACATTTATTAATTCATTATAAAATTAACATCTTAGCCAGTACAAGTTGATTATCTTATTATCTATACCAACACATACAGTTTTTGTTAGAAATACTAGAATGAATATACAAACAGTAACCGGTGAATAATACGAGTTTCTTAGCGCAGATATGGCTAAGCTTGTGGGAACTTATGTTGGAAACCCATTTTCCAGACCAAAAGTGGTGGAACAGTTGGGATAGGAGGTTAGGTAAGATGACCACATTCATTTCGCATTTTCAAACAATATATACTTCCCTAGGAATTCTGGAGAGCCACATGAAAAAGGATTTCATTAGTAACAAACACACTTCCAGATTTTAATTCTACTGATAGATCTTGATTTATTGGGTAGAGACCCATACTCTACAGGAAAGTGAACATCCATTTCAAATGTTCTACTCCCTCATTGGATGAGACTTTTCCATGCCACTTATGCAGTAAGCTGCAGGCTATGAGGAAATAATGCTCTAAAGCAACAAAAATCATATTTGACTAAGATATTTGAATGTAAAGATTTACATATTTTGATCTTCAGGCAAGTCTACAGTTAAGTCTGTACTTACTGATTAGGAGTTCCAGGTGGAGATCGTGATGGAAGGCTCTGTGTTTCTAACCTGTCATCAGATATTGAATTTCTGCTTACTACTTCCCAATCCATTAATTTCCGTGCCAAGGGCTTACTTGGGGATCTGCAGAAATAATTTGATATGTAAAAATTTTTATATTTATACCCCCAACTATAAACCAAATCTTAGAATTTGTCTTGATAGATCATATCCTAGATGAGTAAACATAGTTTACTTAAAAGAAAGTTAATGCATTTAGTGGCTGTTTACACCATAATTTCCTAAGAAATTAAATCTGCTTTGTATGAATAAGAAAGGAAAGACATGCCAAGAGTATAAGAGAGAACAGAGAAAAGAAGAAAGGAAAAAAGGAAAGGAGTAGTTGGCTACCAAGTTATCTCAGATAGCAATACTATAAATATTGCCTACTCCAGAGTTTCAGAAACTTTAGGTCATCTTGTGATGTATTAAACAACTGCTAGCATATTATCTCCTATATATCCTTAAATCTACACCCTGATCCTCTACCTTAAAAACAGAGGACAGGGTGAAAATGATAATCATGTATATTATAATTTTTTTACATATTATATATAGTCATAAGCTAGTAGATTGTTTTCTTTTTTTAAAAAACATTTAGAAGGTTAACATTCTGTTTTGTGGTAGGGAGTAGAAGACTATGTTTTATTACCTATTTATATATTGTCAACTACCACAGTGATAAAGATGAGAACTAAGTAATCTTTTTAGAAAAGATATGGACCTCCGCAGAGTATAAAAAAATATTCAAATTCCGATAGTGGCCAAAATTCATGGAAAATGTATGACATCTACTTTTTGACATGCAGAGTTAATATGAAGGTTAATATAAGGAATTGTGTGGCTTACATAAAAACACAAAATAAATCTTGTAAGCTGATAGTTTTATATTTAATTAATAAATTCACTGAAGCACATAGAAATAGACTGGACTAAAAAAAAGCACAGTAACACTTACCAAGAATACTCACTAAAATTTGTAGACATAGTTGGAAACATTAAAATACTAAGGTAGAGCATACTAGTTTTTGACCTTCCATGAAACAAAGCATGTATTTATGCCTAAATATCTAAATTTACCAGTATAGCGTATGACCCTAGATCCTTTCCTACCTCCTACATTTTATTATTTATGAGTATCTAAATTTTCAGTGCAATGTTTCAGTCTATTAATTTTATTAAACCACAAGTATCTTAAATTACTTATGAATCCAAACCACACAAGTGCCCCATCATTTTGGGTATTCATTGCCAAAACCTTTTACAGTTTGGCCGAATGACATCTCCTTAATTTAAGAACATATAACGTTTCCTAAAAGAGCTGTAATGCTATTGATTCAAAAAAAAAAAAAAAAAAAAGGCACTGGCTCAGATTTCATTTTTCATGAGTTCCTACTTAAAGACAATCAGGACACCATTTAGCCCAACATCCTAATATTGCTGTGCAACCTCATATTCCTTTAGTTATAATAAAATGGAAAAAAAAAGTGTATTATTTCATGTATTTAATTTTTAAACTGAAGATTACTAAAAGAAACCTTAGCATTTACTGCTCTTCTATTAGCCAATTATTGAAGATAATAAGCTATTCATTCTCATATATTAGACTACTAAACGTAAACTGTTGGAGTTCATAATCATAGGTAGATCAACTACTTTCATTTTTGAAGAGAGGGAAAAATCATTTGAAGGAGGAAAAAAGTCTAGTTATACTCACCCAGTATAGAGCATCAGAACACTTTACTGTTGTTAATAAACTAAACATGGTTAGAAATGTTCTGCATCTAAAACTAAATTTCAAGTGTTTTATTAACAGCTTTAACCTCAGAGACCCACCCACTCAAGCTTGCTGTCTATGTTTCCTGTCGAATGTGGAAATTTCAGAGAAAAAAATACCACACTTCATCAGTGTGTTTGCACTGTGGTAAATATATTTTCTGACCATGGCACTTTATTTTTCTGTTGCATGTGAACATTCTTTTGCTTTCTTCTTAGATTTTATAGGACAACTGAAGAAGTGTGAAAGCAATTCAAAGAGTAGATATACTGGGGAAAAAATAAAGTAACTTATTTATTATTGCTGAGAAAACAACCTTACATGGAAACTTTAAGGAGAAATCTTTCTATCTACACACCACCAATTAAATTCTAAGAAGGACAAGAACTCTAGAATTGTCCAATAATTTAACAGAATAACTTAACAACTGCTAAAACCATGAGAGTATTTTGGTAGATATCCATCAGGTCATCACAATAAGATTGTGATATATTATAAAAACAACCCCAGAGAAGCTTTAACCCACTGAGCCACCCAGGTGCCCCTGAGAAGCTTAAGTCTTTTGGAAACTGCAAGATCATTAAAACAGTACCATTAATTACAACTTTATCCCTGCTGATGACTTTTTTTTTAAAAAGATTTTATTTATTTACTTGATAGATCACAAGTAGGCAGAGAGGCAGGCAGAGAGAGAGGAGGAAGCAGGGTGCCCACTGAGCAGAGCCTGAAGCGGGGCTCGATCCCAGAACCCTGAGATCATGACCTGAGCCGAAGGCAGAGGCTTAACCCACTGAGCCACCCAGGAGGCCCCCTGCTGATGACTTCTTATTCAAAGGCAGATTCGCGAAATTCCATATTAAAAAAGAACAGGGACAGTTACTTGAGGCTTCTCATATTGGAATTTTAGCCTACTATTCATCAAGTAATGCATACTTGTTTTATAAAATAACCTACTGTGGGATGCCTGGGTGGCTCAGTTGGTTAAACGGCTGCCTTCAGCTCAGGTCATGATCCCAGCGTCCTGGGATCAAGTCCCACATCGGGCTCCTTGCTCAGCAGGGAACCTGCTTCTCCCTCTGCCACTCTGTCTGCCTGTGCTCTCTCTCTCTCTCTCTCTCTGACAAATAAACAAAATCTTAAAAAATAAAATAAAATAACCTATTGAACAGTTTCTCATTTTAATAATGCCTATACAAAATGAAGAATTAAGATGCAGGTATAATTGTGCATATGAAGAATTAAGATGCAGGTATAGTTGTGCATATTTCTCAAGGTCACATATGATCAAAATATCAAAACACTAAAACTTATATAAAGTAATTTGCATGTGATATTAACATTAATAAATACATCTATAATTTGGTGTTAATATTAGGATGTCATTCTATAGTGGAACAAATTACCAAATCATGTTTTACTATTTTTATAAATATTAAACAAGAAAAAAATGTAAGCTTGTTAGAAAAAGGAGAAAAAAAAATTAGGTGCATTTTTAACAAAAAATAATCAGAAATGTATTGACTTTGATTTTAACAAGTCTGAAAGAAATGATGCAAATAAAGTGTAGTTACTAAGAACCTGAATATCTTTTATATTAAAACAACAAAGTTAAGAGGAAGTAATTACTTCATTCTTGAGAAATTTCAAGGAAAAGAATTTCAAAAACATTTTCTGTACATTTTAACTTCCTATGGGTGCTTAGGACTTTCTAACTGGAAACAAGGGTATCTAAGACTGTAAGAGGGAAGGTTCTGAAAATTTCAGTAGCCATGTCTATTAGGGTACACATCTCTGTTTTTACTTTCTTCTTTTCTCCCTTCCCTAATAACCAATTTAACCAAAGAACCATTAATATGACGCTAAGATTTATATTTAATAGAGAAGTGATTTATTTTAGATTATTTTAGATTTAGAAGTGATTTATTTCATAAATCTAAAAAACAAGGCATATCAATACATCAAATTCAGATTTTTAAACAAATGTTGAGACAATTTACATCATTCAAATTCAAGTAAATTTATCACAGCAAAATGCTACATAGCCCTGACCAGCTAAATCCTTCATCGCATTTTCACTGACAGTCTTCCTCTTGGGTAGATTATTCATAGATAAATGAGGATGAAGATAAGCCAGGAATGAAGAAACATAATGCAGGTAAATTTTATTATTCAAACACATAAAAATCATGGTTGAATAATCTTTTGTTTCAAATGTCCTTACTCCAAGGAAATTAAAATTGCATTTATTATTTATCTTTACAAGCATTCCAGTGCTGGCAAGGAGTCAGACAGGTTTAGCAATGACTGCAACTCCAGAGGCAGGAAAGTGACAGGTTAAAAGGAAGAATCATTAAGTTAAATCTACAGTTTAGGATAAAAGGATTTACCTGTTTAAAGATTTACCCTCATAAATGACTAGATTTTTTCAACATAAAAGAGAGTGCCTATGACACATTAAGTGATAAAAATAAGCAATAAAAAGTGTGAAATAATTTTTAAATGAAATAAATATATATACACACGCATATATTTCCGTGAGGATATACATGGCAAAATCTTGAATAGTAAGTACCAACTGGGGGGAGGGGCGAGGGCGAGAAAGAATTTTAAGCAGGCTCCACATCTAGCACAGAGTCCAAAGTGAGGCTCCATCTCAGGTCCCTGAAATCATTACCTGAGATGAAATCAAGAGCCAGACACTTAGCCAACTGAGCCACCCAGGCACCAACCCCCCGACAATTTTTAAAAATAATCATGTTGGGTCATGATTTTTCTCTATATTTTTTGGCATGTTGGAGTTTTTTCCTTTTCTTTATTTTTTTATTTTTTTCCCCATGTTTGGGGAAATCACAGGGGTCAGAATAGCCTGAGTGCAATTTACTAGTCTCTACCTGTGAGAACATTTTTTGTGATTATGGTTATCTTCCCTGCCACATAAGTATTGGTATGTTGGAATTTAAAAAAAATAATGAAGTATCACTTATATAAGTAGAACAAACAATAAAGCAATTTGTACTTTTGGAGAGAGAAAAGAAAAAAACAAAAATTTCTTTTACTCAAGAAACACAAAATAGGAAGGTCTTTTTGATGAAGACTAAGAGCAAAATTAAAGTAAAATCAAAAGCAAAATTTGGGGCGCCTGGGTGGCTCAGTGGGTTAAGCCTCTGCCTTCGGCTCAGGTCATGATCTCAGGGTCCTGGGATCGGCCCCCGCATTGGACTCTCTGCTTGTTGGGGAGCCTGCTCCCCCACCCCCCTCCGCCTGCCTCTCTGCCTTGTGATTTCTCTCTCTGTCAAATAAATAAATCTTAAAAAAGAGAAGTTTTAAAAAAAAAGCAAAAGCAAAATTCTATAATTAAAATTCTTATGCTTCCAATGAAGGTAGACACCAAGCAGATGAATTTTTTAATTTAAGGACTTATCCTCTAAGCCATTTCCACTGAAAAAACACTGCTTCATTTAAAACACATCTACCATACTACACACATACTACAAGAGCTGGAGCTAGTTCACTGAATAAAACAGACAAAACTCCTGCCCTCATGGAGCCTACAAGCTAGTGGGAGAGACAGATGATAAAGGAGGTCATCTCTAACAGTTCTGAGACAGAAAAGCAGCCAAGCATTCACCTATCTCATGCAGAACAACAAGAAATATTCCATAAAGGTTAAAAGAGTGGGTAAGAACTGGGAGGCCTGTGGGAGAATCCTGCTACATCCCTTACTATCTCGTTAAATTATTCAAATGTGCAGTGCTCAGTTTTCTCACCTGTAATGGAATTTACCACACTGAATTATGGGGACTGTGAAATCATACACAAAAACTGCCTGGCACAGATAAATACAAAATACATGTTAGCCACTATTCAGTTCACTGGCTATATTCTGTCCACTCACATCCCCATACAGTGGACTCCATCACAGCAGCTAGAGTGATTCCAAATGTCACTCCACACACCCATATGTTTATTATGGAACATTTCAAACTTTAACAGAAATATAGAAAATAGTTCAATAAACACTCCCTACCATTTACTCAAACCCTCTCACTTCAATGACTCTGAAGCAAATCCTAGAAATAATGGTATTTGTAAATATTTTAGTTTGTCACTGTAAAACACAACAATTCTGCCAGATTGTTAAAAATGCAAGTCAGTTCATATCCTTTCCAGTGGGGGATCTCAGCCCTTAAGTCCTTACCATATCTTACACGGGGTCATACAAGTTCTGGCTGCTGCCTATCTTCCTCTCTAATCACCTTCTCTAGGCCTCCCTTGCTCTTTCTGGTCCATTACTGGCTGGCCTTCCTCCAACATGACAAGTGGGCTCCAGCTCCATGTCTTGTGCTGGCTCAGTCCTTTACTTACATTAGGTATCTGCTGCACCAATTAGAATTTAAGCTCCATAGGACTAAGCTGTGTATTTTGTTCTTCACTATATTCCCAGGGCCTGACACAATGCTCAGTAGAGTAGGTCTTTGATAATTATTTGCTGCCATCAATCTGGTCATTCTTCCTCCTTTCATTTATTGGATAATCCTATTAGAATGTAGCTTGCACATCTCAAACTAGACCTGTGCCAGTTTAACTCCTTTTTCCAATACAAATTTGTTCTCTTTCTGTAGCCCCTTGTCCATCTTATGGCACTCAAATTTGATGGCCTTTCCAGATACTCCTGTCTCCAACACACCTCCATCTAACTGATTAACAACTTCTTCTAGTTCTACCTACAAAATGTTCCCCAAATTTGTTCCCTAGTCTCCATTTCATCACTACTGTTTTAGTTCACTTGGATTTTTCACTTGGATTACTGCAATAACCTTTAATTGGTCTTATAGTGCTGAGTCCTTACTTCTAACCCATTCTATATCAACTGCTCTTAAACCTGTTTTCTAAAACACAAACCTGACTATGTCATTTCACTCATTAAAAAACAAACTGGTTATAAACAGCTCCTAAAAATACAAAGATAACTAAATGGCATCCAAAAAAATAAACTTATTTCTTAACAATGTGATTTAAAGAAATGGAAATGGACTGAAGAATATATGAAATTAATAATTATGTTTTGGAAAAATGGTTAAAAATGTGCACAAAATGGACTTTCTAACAAAATGTTACAGTAATAATAAAATACTTGATTTAGGCTGGTCAAAACTATAATGCTTGGCACAGGGTTAATTTCATTCATGTAAAAAAACAAAAAAAAGGAATGAATAAACTAGACAAATCATTACTCCCTCAACATAACTTATTACTTAATTAAATAAAGGATCATGTGATAATTCTGTAATCACATTTGGAAAAAGGGTTTTTAGTAATTTTTATCTTTTACAAGCAATTTAGACACAAATAGAAGAGATGGCTTACCTTGCAAATACCCTGTCTTTATTTGCTTTTTCTTTGCCATACTGAACTGACTGGACTTCAGTTCTCCCACTGAAATACATAAACATGCACAATAATAATATTTTAAAGAGAACACTAAGATAAAATAACAACACACACGATTATATTACAACTTCATAAGAGACAAATTTCTAGCAGAGAAAAGGTGGCAGAGGATAAGAAGAAAAGACTGGACTAAATTCCAGTTCTACCTGAACAGATGAAGCTTATTTATGGCTCCAGCATTAGTGAACAACAATGTATTCCATAGACACTCCATTTTCAGATACTCTGTTGGTTGAGAATGACTATCACCCTCACACTATATGTTGGGTCTGTGGTTTAGCTAGTGTCTCTACTACTCCTTGATGAAGGACCTGAAACATGAGGAATCCTGAAGATTCTTACTCTTTTCTTGGACTTTTCTTTCCTATCTACTGATAATGGTAACAGATACGAAGACGGGTTATATCCTCAAATCATTCCTTGTCCAGACATTGCCAACTCCAGACTCTTGTATACAGGAAGGAACTAAGGACAGAAATATGGTTGCAAACTGAAGCCAATCCGTGTAGCAAGCACATAGTTTATGAGTGGAAACTGAGCCTCCTCTGTGGTAAACCAATGTGTTCAGACCAAATCTGTTACTAAAAACTTGGTTTTCAGAGAATTTGCTACTTGACACATCACATTATTTAAGTGTGAATAGATAAATGTCTAATATATCAAATATAACTATTTAAATATGTAGATACCTAATTCATATTAAAAAAAAGCCAAATATATGTTTCTTTCTCCCCCTCCCCAAATATAGGCTTCTAAAGCAAAGTAAGCAATTTTAATAACATCTTCTGTGGATAAGTATAGATACATGTAAACAGAATGGTCCATCTGTTCAAGTTTTAATGGAAAAGTCAGAAACCTAACCATGATTTTTAAACTTAGGTACACTTAAGTTTCTTAAAAAAATATATTTCCTGTAAGTAGGATAAAGTATTGGGTATTAAGGAAGGCACATATTGCATGGAGCACTGAGTGTGATGCATAAACAATGAATTTTGGAACACTGAAAAAAAAATTAAATTAAAAAAGGATAAAGTATACCTGCAATTGTGAGCAAGGTAACAAATTGAGGTTCACTATTGTTTTGTCTTTCCACTTTAGAACAACAACTTTAATCCACTGGATGTTTTGGAAGAGAGGTAATAAAGGTTTGTATATCAGTAGGTTGGTGGAGCAATTAATAAATTTTCTGATATCTGAAATTCCATCTCTCAGTCTAAATAATATATCAACATTTTGAGTCTTAAAAAAGTTCTAGTATTTTTAACTATTGCTTATTATGAAGGAAAAAATATTTATTTAATGCATACCCATTAGGGATAAGACCGTGTCCAGATAAACATTTGTCATGCTGCCATTCCTACCTCAATTACAATATTATCAATCATTTTAACGACTAAAAGGTGTTTTGGATGTTTTAAAAGTATGTAAGGACTACAAACATAAAATTTAACTTTTACAACGATAAACATACACAGTTTACTTATATACACTAATTTAATATAACATTAACTGAGCTGTCATAGGCCTCAATCCTCCTCCTGTGCTTGGCTAAGTTTTGTAGGCTTGCTAGTTAACAAACTATTTTCTAGGTTCCTTTGTGAGTTGGTTTTCTATTAGGTTTTACATTTTCTCTGATAGGCGATCAGAAAGTAGAGGGAGTCAAAAGCAGAAGACTGGCAGACCTGGTGGCTGCTGTAACAAGAGTGGGAACAGGATGCTGGGAGAGACAGCACATAGATGGTATGTACCATCCCTGATCAAAGCAGCACCTCTCGGGCAGATCCAGAACTGACTGTGGCAATGGCTCTAACGATAAAGTAGCAGTTCTAGGCTTATGGATTCCAGCCTAGATGTAACACAAGTTTCTGAGCCTTAAGCATGATCCATTTTTCCTGTTTACTTCTCTAAAACTCTCCTTCTTCTCCCTTTTGTTTTGCTAGCCTCTCTAATACCTGTGTAACTGAGTCCCTCAAATTGCTTTTATTTGAAAAATAAAAAGGACTTCCTATGTGTCTGACTGATAACTTACCAGTGAAGAGGATTCAAATGGGACACTATTACTCAAAAGCCTCAAAAGGCATTAACAAGTTGACTTTTGTAACAAAAACATAAAGGCAGAATTGAAATATGGGGGAGCATTAAAGGTTTATATTTCATATTATCCATAATATTGTTCTTTATGGGTTTAATATTACTATTATTAGAACAAAACGCAAAACTGTACCATAATCTAAAAACACCAAATTCTGATAGTAAGATACTTATTTTTAGGACAATGAGAAAATGACAACTGGTAGAAGAACACAGGTTCATTATAAGTAATTTCAGCAATACAGAGGAGCAAAACAAAAATATTTTTTTAAATCCCAAATTAAAAAAAGAAAATTAAATTAAAAAAACAATAAACCCGCCAAATTTAGCCAGAGTCTTATCCCTAAGAAATAATCTCCATTATCAGCAGGTAAAAACACTCTCTATAAACACTAAAAACACTCTCTATATACATAAAAAATGCTAAAAATAGGGACATAATTCTATTAATACAATGATTATGCTACATATCCCACTTTTGATGAAAACAGTATTAAACTGATTTCCCTTGAACTAAAAGAAGACTGCCATTCACAAATAAAGAAAGAAAGATTGGGAAAACTTAAGGAGTTGGTGTTATAAATATTTAATTTTTGTTAATATGGATTCTCATACTTCCACTAGACCTTTGCTTCCTCATTTTATATTGTTATTTTTACTTTATCAAAGTTTATAGCATTTTAATTTTCTATAGTCATAATTCTGATAGTTGTCAAGGATTAGTGCTACGTTTAAATGACCTAACCTTCATTCTTAGTTCTTTTCCAAGATTCTTTTTTTTTTTTAAGATTTTATTTATTTGACAGGTAGAGCGAGAGATCACAAGTAGGCAGAGAGAGCAGGCAGAGAGAAAAAGGGGGAAGCAGGCTCCCTGCTAGGCAGAGAGCCCGATGGGGGGCTTGATCCCAGGACCTGGAGATCATGACCTGAGCCAAAGGCAGAAGCTTAACCCACAGAACCACCCAGGTACCCCCAAGATTCTTTTTGAGTCATGTTGACTTATCTCTTGGATGACTTAATTTTCTTAAGGAGGTTTTTTTCTGGATGCCTGGCTGGTTCAGTCAGTAAATCATGTGACTCTTCATCTCAGGGTTGTGAGTTAGAGCCCCACATTGGGTACAGAGATCACCTAAACATTAAAAAAAAAAAAAAAAAAAAAATTCCCCCAGGTGGGCTCAGAGATGTTATATTCTCTGAGGTTTTGTATATTTGATAATGTTTATTGGCTTTAGACTTGAATGGCAGTTAAGTTTAGTATCTTTCAGTCGCTTTTTTTCTTTAGGACATGGCAGACAAAGAGTGGCTCACATTATAATCAAAAAGAAAACCATAAATTTTATGCCAAAAAACTCGTTAACTTAGAGGAAAGAGATAAATTCCTTGAAAAACATGAACTACAAAGCTCACTGAGAAGAAGAAAACCTGAACTGCTTTATATCTATGAAAGAATTTGAATGTGTTGCTCAAAAGTTTCCTATAAACAAAACTTCTGCCCTAGATGGATTAATTGGTAAATTATGCCAAACATATATTTTTTTAAGATTTTATTTACTTGAGACAGAAAGAGAGAATGAGCATGAGAGAGAGCACGAGCATGGGGAGGGGCAGAAGAGGGAGAAGCAGACTCCCTAGTAAGCAGGGAGTCCAACATGGGGCTCGAACCCAGGACCCTGAGATTATGACCTGAGCTGAAGGCAGATGCTTAACCAAGTGAGCCACCCAGGTGCCCCCTGCCAAACATTTTAAAAGGAAATAATACCATTACTACAGAAACTTTCCTAGAAAATTGAAAATGAGGGAACACTTCCCAACTCATTCATTGAGGCTGAAATTACCTTGACACCAAAACCTGACACTGATTTACCAGAAAAGAAAACTACAGAGCAGTATCCTTCATGAACATAGATGTAAAAATTCTAAACAAAAACTTGGCAAACTGAATAGAACAGGATAGAAAAAGGATAACAGATCATGACCAAATGGGGTTTATCCTAGGAATGTGGGGTAGGGTTAGCACTTGAAACTCAATGTAATTTATCATACAAACAAATTAAAAAGAAAAACCATATCATCTTTGTAATAGTTGCAGAAAAAGCATTTGACAAAAACCAATATCCAATTCTAACAAAAACTTCCAGCAAATGAGATATAGAGGGAACTTCCTCAACATGCACTATATACAGCATCTATGAAGGGCCTACAACTAATATCATACATAGTAGCAAAAGATTGAATATCTTCCCCCCCACCCCCCAAGATAAGGAAAAAACAAGGATATTTATTCTCACCACTTCTATTCAGCACTGTACTGGAGGTTCTAGCTGGGGGAATAAGGAAAGAAAAAGAAACAAAAAGGATCAGAATGGAGAGGAAGAATTAAAACTGTCTTTATCCTCTATGTAGAAAATCTATTGGAAGCTACAAAAAAGCTCCTAGGATAAGTGAGGTAAGCAATGTCTTACTACTGAAATCAGATCAACATTAAAAAGATCAACTGCATTTCTGCTTAATAATGAACAATATGAAAATAATATTTAAAAAGACCTCAAGAAATTAAAGATAAATTTAGCATGGACCTGTGAAACTTGTGAATTTGTGAAAGACCCGTACACTGACAAACTGAGAATAGTAAAAGATAACTTAAATAAATAAAAGATGTATCATGTTTCATGAGTTTGAAAACTCAGTATTTTTAAAATGTCAATTCTCCTGAAATTGATCTATAGTTTCAGCACAATCCCAACTAAAATCCAAGACATGGTTTTTTGTTTGTTTTTTAAGAAAGAGAGAGAGTGTGCATGAGCCAGGAGGAGGCAGAGGTGGTGGGTAGAGGGCAAAGGGAAAGAGAATCTCAAGCAGGCTCCATTGCTCTGTGCAAAGCCAATGTGGGGCTCCATCCCACAACCTGAAGATTAGGACCTGACCTGAAATCAAGAGTTGGACACTTAACTGACTGAGCCACCCAAGCGCCTCCCCCAAGAAGTCTTTTTTGTAGAAACTGATCAGCTGGTTCTAAAGTTCAGATGAAAATGCAAAGGACCTAAAACATTTGAAACAACTTTTAAAAAGAACAAAGTTGGAGCACTAATACTACTATATTTTAAGATTTACAAATTAATCCAAAAGTAAGTCCACACAAATACTGAAAACTGATGCTCAACAAAGGGGTAAAGGCAATTCAGTGAAAAAAGAAAGGGCAATCCTTCAAAAAATGGTGCTGGAACAACTGTCTATCCATATGCAAAAAAATGAACTTTATATATTTTTGTTTATATTTTAAAACATATACAAAAATTATTTCCAAATGGATCAGAGAGCTAAATGTAAGAACTAAAACTATAGAAGTCTTAAAAGAAAACAGAGGAATAAATCTTTTCAGCCGTGGGTTAGGCAAAGATTTCTTACATATGATGCCAAAAGAAAGATCCATGAAAGAATACAATGGTAAATTAAATTTCACCAGAATTGTGTACTCTATAGAAGAGGTAACAACAGGCTTGATGAAAATGTAATGGAACTCTCACAGCTGGTGGGTACATAAAATGGTAAAAACCGCCTTGAAAAAATGACTGGCAGTTTCTTGTAATCTAGCCACTGCACTCATAGGTATTTAACCACGGGAAGTTAAACCATATAAATACTTCTCCATGAATGGCCACAGCAGCTTTATTTTTAATAGCTCAAAACTGGAAACAACCCAAATGGGGAAACAAACAATCACTTCCTATCCATAAGCAAGTGAATGGATTAACATATTGTGATATAGCTATACAGTGGAGTAATACTCCACAATAAAAAGAAACGAACTACCAATACAGACAACAACACAGATGAATTTCATCAGAATAATTATGATGAGTCAAAGAGGCTGGACTAAAAAGAGTACGTAATATATACATTTCAATTTCTATAAAATCCTTTAAAATGCAAACCAATTTATAGAGACAGAAAGCAGATCAGTGGCTGCGGGGACAAAGAAGGGTAGAAGAAAGAAGTTACAGAGGAACATAAAGGAAAAACGGGGGGAAGATATGCTTGCTATCTTGATTATGGTGATGGATTCAGGGATGTAAATAAATCTCCAAACATCAAATTTTAGATGTTAAATATGGTAGCTTACTGTATACCAATTAGACCTTAATAAAGCTGTTTAAAAATATAAAATTTGCCACTATGAGGCCCATATTCCAAGGGCAGTAACAGCTTGAATGGCAGATATTGCTCCTCACCCTGCTAATTTTTTTTTTCTTAGGTTGTTCTTTAGTTTGTTTTTATTAACATCTGTGGTTGAAATTATGTCCTGTTTCAGTGATTTTTCTCCAAACTGGTTTCTTTAACTGTCTATTGTACTTGTCATTGTGATTAGATTTTGTTTGCTATGGTATAGATTGGGTAAAATCTTTTATTATTTTCTCATTGTATCTGACACCAATCTGAATTACAGTCAAAGGCAGGTTACTATATTCTACGCATTTCTGTTGCCTAGGAGATATGGTGTGTGTACATTTATGGTATGTCATATTTTCAAGGACAGAGGGAAGGAAGAATTCTGCTAAAGAAAAGTGTAGTCCTTAGATAATAACCCTGATGGTCATTTAATCAATAATTAAGTTTATTGAGGGACTACTACACTATTTTCTCAATGGAGATTTCTTCTGCCCCTCCTGAGATTTAGACAAGGCTTTAAAAATTTTTTTCTTCATTTTCACCAATGATAGAATACTTGTTTTCTCAGTCCGTCCATCCATCTACCCATCCATCCATCCACCCATCCAAGTAGGCTCCAAACCAAGCATGGAGTGAAGTGTGAGGCTTGAACTCATGACCCTGAGATCAAGACCTAAAGTGGGATTAAGAGTCAAACGTTTAATGGACTGAGCCACCCAAATGCCCCATCAGTCTATTTATTTTTAAATTTACAAGTACCATCACCTTACTTTTCTCAAAATTGCTTTTAGGAAAGGTACAGAAGAGTTAAATATGACACCACTTAAAAACCTGCTGTGCCATTTCTGTGATTAAAGTTTCCTAATTCTGTTTAAGTGTCGCCACTGAATTTGGGAGCTGCTTTGGGGAGGGGGCATATATTTTTAAGAGTATATTAAAAGTTTTATGCTGTTATTTTTTCTGCAATTACAAATTGGGCATTTATGTTTGAGATTTCTGGGGCACTCTCAATATTTCCACATGAATATAAAACACGAATTAATCTAACACATAATGATAAAAGGTTTTATTTACTGAAGATGGAAAATCTTTTTTGAAGCAGAAACAGAAATGGATAACATTTGTTTTAGTAAAAGATTATGAATGACTTTGCTATGTGATTCTTACCAGGTTGCACTTAAAAATTAGCTTTCATAGGTCTTTTAAGAATTCCAGAGGCAAAATTAATCAGAACTTCTCCAAATTTAGAATTATCCCTCAAAGACTGTTTCCTTCAGGAAAAATAAAAGCTATCAAGAATAAATAAGATAGTTTTAGGAAAAGGAATCTGGGGTTAATATTCAATGACTAAATGTGAGTTTTGCATAATAGGTGCCTGAACTCCTTATAACAAAGGGTTTAACAAACTCATACATAAAAAGCAAAGTATAGTTATTCCCCACTTTTTCAAAGTTTGTGTTACGCCACTCTGCTTTTACAAAAAAAAAGGGAGAAAAAAGCATTCAGCATTTGTTTTGTAGCAAGCCACTGTAGAGGCTGTGCACACGGCAGTGAGAGTACCCCACCAAGATCTTTCCAATGAAGCACACTCAGCATATCAGCATTAAGCCACCAAAGCCACATATTTGAACTGTGTCTTTGATCATCTGTGCTTTATCTCGATTTATTTTGTGCATTTGTTGGTAAGATGTGTCCTAAAGTGTAAGAAAAAAAAAAACTACGAGAGGTCATTCTTGGGGTCTGGAAATGCTAAATAATTTTTCCATATAAACTAATGGTAATGGCTTCTTTACTTTATGCCATTTGACTTAACAAAAGGTTTAACAGGAACATTCTACTTTTGGATAGTGAGGGAAACTGGCAATTATATGCTCATGCAGAAGATAACTTCTGCTTTTACAAATAAAAATGTCTTAGAACAAAGAAAAATTTTCATGTAAATATTTAACAAAGACACTATGGAATTCGAAACATGTCTAGAATGTAAATAATTAGGTATGACTGATTTACTTTAGAAAATAATGTTATCTTGTTAGAAATACGGTCAATGGAAGAGGTTTCTCCATCTGGTTGGATCACAATAACCTTTAGAACTTTTTGCTGATCTATATACAGGGTCCTCGCTCCAGAGATTTTGACTCAGTAGGTGTGTATGAATTATACACATAGTATGATTGATTACAACAGGCCTTTAAAGTGAAGAAAAATCCAATAATAAAACATTAATGCACAAGCAATACTCACCAGTACCGAAATTTGGAACCTAATGTAAAATAATGTGCAAAAAAATTCTTTTGAGGTGGAAGTGGTCTGTCCAAACGGAAGAATGTGTGATGTTCTACACATGCTTTCCACAAGTTTTTGCATGCTCTGTAATTCACCATATTAAATCCCAATAATGTTTCTCTAGATTCATGCTGTAATAAATGACAAAATGCAGAGAATACCAGAAAGACATCAGGATCTAATGTTCCATTTAGTTTACTTTCTGCAGATAAATATTCTAGCCTTACAAACAGCTAATCCTTATAGCACAATACTTTTTTTGCTTATCTAATAAAACAGCAGTAAAATAAACGGAAAGGTTTGCAAAATGTGGATCTCACCTCATTCTGTAATATTATGACTCTTAGAACTTTTATTTTATAACACAATTAGAAATAAGTTAAAGACCAAGATATATCTGTTTTCAAAACTTTCTAGCTATAATTCTATTTCAAAATATAACCCTGGCCCATAAACTAAGATATACTATCACACCTATTAAAAATATTTTAAAATTCATAAACCTATCTAGATTGTCAGTACATAGGAATATTCGTTCAGTACTTCTGAACACTATAATGCAACTCCACTTTTAAAGTATGTGGCAACATAACAGAATCATTCCTTTAATTTTTCTCTAAAAGTCTGGCACAAATTACTATTTCAATGGTTTCACTGAAGTAAATTATATATAGTAAGGCACACAGGTTTTAAGTGTATAGCTCTAGTTTTCACACAATGAATGCAACCATTTAACACCCAACCAGAACAAGAAATGGATTATTACTAGCAACTCTGAAGTATTCTTTGTGCTTCCTTTCTACAGGATTATCTTTTCAAAGGTAATCACTCTTCTGACTTTTATCACAATAGATTATTTACAGCTGAACTTTATGTACATGGAATCATACATACATGTCTTTACGTCTGATTTCTTTTGCTCAGTATTATGTTTCTGTATTCATCCACACGGTTGTGAAAGTCATTTTCATTCTATATAACATTCTACCATATGAATATACCAGTTTATTTATCCATTTGTTATTGATAGACATTTGATGTTTCCAGTTTGAGGATATAAAGATACTGTTATGCGTGTGCATTTCTATTGTTGGATTATAAGATATCTGTGTTCATCTTCAGTAGATAATGCCCAAGAGTTTTCCAAATTAGTTAGATCCAAAATAGTAAATCCAAACGATTTCCAAAATAGTTTTCCAAAATATATACTCCCTCCCACCAGCAGTATATCCTCCACACATTCACCAGCCACTTGCTTATCAATATTTTCATTACATTAATCTGGTGAATGTGTAGAAGTATCACATTTTGGTTATAATTTACACTTCCCTGATGACTAATGAGGTTCAACACCTTCTCAGGTTACTGGCCTTGTGGGTGACCTCATTTCTGAAGTGTATGTTCGAATCAGTAGCATATTTTTGGATTGGGTTGGATATATCAACACCAACGGTGTGGTATGTGTGTGTATGATATACATATTCTGTGCTACTTCACTCCCTTAATGATGTCTTTTGGTGAATACAGTTTTAATTTTAACACAGTCCAAGTTATTGATCTTTTCTTTTAAGGTTAGTTTTCTTTCTAGGTCCTGTTAAATGTTTGCCTATCAAAAGATATGAAGATATTTTCGTAGCTAAAATACAGTAAGATGCCCATGTATAAACATTAAACTACTATGTGAGAAGATAATATGCTTAAAATACTACTTCTTGATCACCAAAGAATTCTTAATTATGCTTAACAGTGGCTTTATAGGCTCTAACTAATAGTTTACATGTACCACACTCCATAAATAATGCAAAATGACAGAAGAGATCTTACAAAGAGCAGTTTGCAGTAATGCCTCTCAGAAGAGTTGACCTAAGAATCATGTATGTTTTTTTGACACTTTGCATAGTTCAAAAATTCTGTGTGATTCTGACTTTCTACTAATCATATTTGGACAAATTGTAACAAATTTGCAACAAAAAGCACCCTCCACATTTTGTACACAATAGATAMAAAATGTTGTATTGAAAGATAAGTAGCTTGTATAAAGTTTGCTTATTTAAAAATAGGTATTTCACAAAGAAACATTAACAAGGCAACATTCTGTAGACTGTGACTATATACACTCTTTAATCAGTTGTTAGATGACTTTTGTTGATGTTATCTGTGGCTAAATACATTCTTAATGATATACAACCTTGAAGAATAGTTGTGAGGATTAAATGATATGAAAACAGCTGTGTAATTATCACACAGTAAGACCTCAATAAATATTAAATACCACAACTATTATTGCTAATAATAATAGTGTTAATAGGAAAAAAATTAGAAAAATTCACTTCTAGGGGCGCCTGGGTGGCTCAGTGGGTTAAAGCCTCTGCCCTCAGCTCAGGTCATGATCCCAGGGTCCTGAGATCGAGCCCCGCATCATCGGGTTCTCTGCTCAGCAGGGAGCCTGCTTCCTCCTCTCTCCGCCTGCCTCTCTGCCTACTTGTGATCTGTCTGTCAAATAAATAAATAAAATCTTTAAAAAAAAAAACAAAGAAAAATTCACTTCTACATTGCATTATACCCATATAATAATGTAAAGTATTTGTTCACTAGTTCCCAGATGTTTTGAAACATGTACAAAAATTTTCATTAGCAGCATTAGTCATAATAGCCATAACATGGAAAGCCAAAATTGTCCACAAACGTAAGAATGAATAACTTATGGTATATTCACTCAATATAATACCAAGCAGCAATAGGAAAACTATTGTTTTGTGCAAAAATATGGATAAATTCACAGTGTTAAGGTTAGATTTTATTTTTTAAAGTTAAAAATAAGCAAACTAATCCATGGTGATACAAATGAGAATAGTATTTACCTCCCAGGAAGGTTAATAACACAAAGGGGTATCAGCTCCAGTAGCAATAATACCAAGGTGGTGGTAATGTTCTACATATTAACAGTATTTATTCATTATATACTTACCAGAAACACCATCTTTAATATTTGCATACTTTTCTGTGTAATTCAATAAAACTATAGAAAAAAAACTTTTATATTTTTGAGTATAAATGATAAGTCAGGCACTTTAGATCATTATTCTGATAAAATGCAGTTGACCCAATTATTTTTAAGGTTTCAAATACATTTTACACATACATGCACACACTACCATTTTGTAATCTGCATTAATTTGTTAAGATTTGTAAGAAATAATTTAAGGATAAATTATTTTAATTTTGATTAAATAGGTAAAATCATTAACAAGGTCAAGTTCTTTCCAACAATGTATTTTCACAATAACTCAATGTGGGGTGTGTGTGTGTGTGTGTGTATATGTATAAAATTCTCGGTTATCACCCTCAGGAATAGACCCTGGCAACTGACAATGAACATGACAATTAAGATCAGTTTCAAAGTTCAAAAGAGAGCAAAATGGATATATAGAAGAGTTTTAAATCAGGACTACAGTGACAATGTGGAAATAAACATAATTCACATAAAATGTGAATTAAATAATATTAGTAACAGTTATCGACAATATTAGTAACACTTTCACTCATACTAAAAGTTTGGCCATGAATGATTTCATTTCTTAAGACTTCATTTATATATATGTATAAAAAAAGACTTCATTTATATAAATATTATTCATGTTTGTTATTTATATTTATACAAATATTTATAAGTATATTCACTTATATTAATAATTATTAGAGCACTACTCACCACTTCTTTTCTAAGTTGAATAAAAAACTGTTTGCACTTAAACGAAATTTTTACAATCTTCAACCTGGATAAAAAGAGAATGAATTGGAGTATTTAAAATACTGAATAAAAATAAAAACATTAACTTAATAATGCAAAAAATAATCTTTTAACTGTATATTCAGTAACCCCTAAACATTCAATCATATATACACACATTACCTAAGAAATCTAAAGATTTTGGTGCTTCATGAAAAAATTATTAGAATTTATATACTCAACTAAAGAAAGTTTTATCAGAATAATTGCTGTGAACTATGCTTTTCTCAATTTTATATCTAGAGAAATACATAAAAATACATGTAACAAATTAAAATTTCAAGATATACCAATAAGAGATACCAAAACTACAAGCAGTTTTCTGGTTCCGTAAGGAGCTTAGAAATCACCACTCCACTGTAATAAGTAAAAAGATCAACAGTTTCAGAAATCAACGACTCTTCTTGGATTCATGAGAGAGGGGAGGGCGCAGGAACTGCTTGCTGCTCCCAAAATTTGAGAGCCTAACAGGTGAAGACAGAGAATTGCAGCTTACCAGAGCAGAGACTCACCGAACAGAAACTGCCAGAGGAACCAGAGCCAGAGGAACCCGAACTGTAATTTAAGAATTGTTGGAGGCTCCATGTGGACAAATTCAAGAGTGAAAAACTCCAGAGGGACTCAGTTACAGGGGAGGGGAGACCTCCTACAATATTACGAAATTTACCTCTAGGAGTCCAATCAGATTCAGAGAAAAATACCCTTGAGTTTCCAGCAAGGGAAGGGGAAAAAGAACCATCTTGAAATATACTAGAGCACTCTTCTTAATAAGGTCTGCCTTCAGGGGAAACTAGTTAACCAAATCCTCACCTGCTCGGGTATTACCAGAGTTTAACCAACTTGGGGAAGCCTAATTAGCTCACTCATGCCATCCTATCCCACCTAGGGAAGAAAAAACCAGAGAAACACTTGTGAAGTTCACAGCCTAGAGGCAACGGCTCTCTGAAACACTGAGAGGTAATCACAGGATACAGAACACTTGCCATCCCCCTACACCTCACAACAACATTACTAAGAGCCTATTTATAGCACTTCCTTTCACTGGAATATCATGTCTGGCTATCAAAAAATTACAAGGCATACCAAAAGGCAAAAACACGATGTGAAGAGACTGAGCAGAATCAGACACGAAAGAGATGTTGGAATGATCAGACTGGTAACTTAAAACATCTCTGATTAATACGCTAAGAGCACTAATGGATAAAGTAAAAAGGATGTAAGAACAGATGGGCAATGTAAACACAGAGATGGAAATCATTAGGTGTCATTAGAAAGACAGCCCCTGCCAAATGCTATGGGTAAAAAACACCATCACAGAAACAATACTTTTCATGACCTTATTAGTACACTGGACACAGCTGAGGAAATAATCTCTAAGGCAGAAGATATATCAATAAAATCCTAAAAGCCCCCAAAACAAAGAGAACAAAGACTAAAGAAGAACTGAACAGACTATTCAAGAACTGTGGGACAACTACAAAAGATGTGACATACAGTAACATATGGTAATAGAAATACTGGAAGAAGAAGAGAAAGTAACAGAAGAAATGTTTGAAACAAAAATGACTAAGGAACTTTCCCAAATTAACATCAAATGCCAAACCACAGATGAAGGAAGCTTAGAGAACACGAGGATAAATGCCTTAAAAACCATACCTAGGTATATCACTTTTACATTACAGAAAATTAAAGATAAAGAGAAACATCTTGAAAGAAGCCAGAGGAAAAAACATCTTACCTACAGAGAAGAAAGGTAAGAAGAGTTAAGTCCAACTTCTCAGAAATCATGAAGCAGGAAGAGAGCAGAGTGGGTAAAGTGTTGAGAGAAAAAAACCATCACCCCCAAATTTCATATTCTTTGAAATTATCCTTCAAGAATGAATGAGAAAAAAAGACCTTCTCAAAAATTGGGGGAATTTGTTGGAACGAGACCTGCCTTGCGAGAAATGTTAAAAGAGAAAAAAAATTATATAGGCCAGAAACTTGAATCTATATAAAGAAAGCAAAAACACTGAAGAAGAACTAAGTGATGGTAAAATAAAAATTTGATTTTTCTTATTCTTTTTTTTTTTATTTTTCTTATTCTTAATTGATCTAACATATAAGTTTGTTCGAAATAATAAAAGCAAAAATGTATACAATTATGTATGTTTATGTACATATCATATATACACAATTATATACTTATATATGTTTATGTATAAGTGAAATGATTGAAAGCAATGATACAAGGGACAGGAGGAAGGAATTAGTATACTATTATTTCAAAGTAGACTTAGACTAATGTAAATATAATTGCAAATTCTAAAACAACCACTAAAGACAAATAAAAGAAGTAAAACTAATAAGCTAGGAAAAGAGAGAGAATGAAATCATATAAAATGCTCAATTAAAACAAGAACGGCAGGAAAAAGAGTGAAACACAAAAATGGAAACAAAGAACAAGGGCAACAAATAGAAAACAGTAACAAATAAGGCAGATACTAATACAAATATATCAAAAATCCTTTAAAATGTCAATGGGCTAAATTTAACAATTAAAAGACATACTGTCAGAGTGGCTCAAAACACAAGACACAATATTTCGTTTAAATATAAAAACACAGATAGGCTAAATGCAAACAAATGTATAAAAATATACCATGCTAAAACTAGTTTAAAAAAAGCAGGAGTACTAGGGATGTAATGTATATCACTGTGACTAAAGTTAAATAATACTGTATTGTATATTCCCAAAGTTACTAAGACAGATCTTAAAAGTCTCATCACAAGGAAAAGAATTGTAATGGTGTAGTGATGAATACTGACCAAATACACAGTGATAATCATTGTGTAAAATATACAAATATTGAATCATTATTGTCCACCTGAAATGAATATACTGTTATATATCAATTATATCTCAAAAAAGCAAGAATGAAAGAAAAAAAGAGCAGCTCTAATATTTACAAAAAGCAAGACTTCAAAGCAAACAGTAATTGAGGATAAAGTAGGGCATTCCACAATGATAAAGGGGTAAATTCTCCTAGAAGACATTACAAAATCTTAATGAATATGAACCTACAACAAGAGGCAAAAACTGATAGAACTACATGAATACACTATCATAGCTGGAGACTTCAACACCCTTTTATCAGAAATGGACAAATTCAGCACACAGAAAATCATTAAGGACATAGCTGAACTCAACAATATTATCAAACGGATATAACTGACCTTTATAGATTACTTCTTACAATATGAAAATATACATTTTTCTCAAGCTTATCTGAAACATTCACCAAGACAGATCATATTCTCAGCCATAAAACATACCTTAACAAATGTCAAAGAACAGAAATCACACAATACCTCCTTTCAAAGCACAACAAATTAATCTAGAAATCTGTAACAAAAGAACTACTAGAATCCTAAAATGCCTGGAGATTAAATAACGCACCTATAAATAAAACAGGAGCCAAGAAATCTCAAGAGAAATGAAAAATTATTTGAACTAAATGAAAATGAAAACACAATCCATCAAATATGTGAAACCTGGCAAAAGCAGGGCTTAGAAGGAACTTTAGGACACTAAATGCCTATGTAAGTGAAGAAGAAAGACAAAAAAAATCAATAATCTAACTTTCCACTTTTAAAAAAAGAATAGAGGGGCACTTGGGTGGCTCAGTTAGTTGAGTGGCTGACTCAGGTCCTGATCCCAGCATCCAGCTCTGCACTCACTGGGGAGTCGGCTTGAGGATTCTCTCCTCCCTCTGCCCCTCATCCCTGCTTCCACACTCTTTCTCTCCCTCTCAAATAAATAAATAAATAAATAAAATCTTTTTAAAGGGGGAGCAGATTAAATCTAAAGAAAAAAATAAAAATAGTAGAGCAGGAATCAATGAAATTGAAAACAGAAGACCAATAGAGAATATCAATGAACCCAAAAGGTATTTTTTGAAAAATTAATAAAATCAATAAGCCTCTAGCCACACTAAGAAAAAAAAAGAGAGTACACAAATTACTAATATCAGAAATGAGAGTGGACATCAATACAATTAAAAGCATAATAAAACAACTCCATGAGTAAGCCTATGCCCAGAAGTTTGATAATCTCAATGCAATGGGCCAATTCTTCGAAAACAGATCATCTACCAAAACTCACAAAGAAATACATGATCTGAATAGACCTGTATATACTAAAGAAATTTATTTAACAATTAGGAATCTTCAAAAAAAGAAAGCACCAGGCCCAGATGTGTTCACTAGTGAATGACCAAGCATTTAATTAAGAAACTATATCAATTCTCTACAATCTCTTTCAGAGGATAGAAGCAGAAGGAATACTACTAAAGTCATTCTATGAAGCTAGCATTACCTTAACACCAAAACCAGACAAAGACATTACAAGAAAACTAGAGAACAATCTCTCTCATATTCAAAGATTCAAAATCCTCAAAATATTAGCAATCAAATTCAACAAATATGTATAAAAAGAATTATACACCAAAACCAAGTGGGACATATTCCAGGAATGCATGGCTGGTTCAACATTCAAAAATCAATATAAACCGACACATTAAAAGACTTAAAAAGAAAAAAAAATCACATAGTTATATATGCAGAAGAAGCATCTGATGAAATCTAACAATGATTCATGATGAAAACTCTCACTGCAGTAGGAAGACAGTGAAACTTTCTCAACTTGATAAAAGACTTTCCAAAAAACACCTACAGTTAACATTATACCTAATGGTGCGAACTAGAAGTTTTCCTAGTAAGATCAAGTAAAGAAAGGATGTTTCAGTTCACCACTCCCTTTCAACATCATATGGGAATCCCGTGTTAATGCAATTAAGGCACAAAAAGGGAATGAAAGATACTGACTGGAAGGAAGACATAAAACTTTGTTCGCAGATGACATGATCATTTATGTAGAAGATCCAAGAAAACTGACGAAGAAATCCTGGAACTAATAGGCAATTTTAGCAAGGTGCAGGACACAAG